GGCCGGGGGGACAGACGGGGTCGTCTCCGCCGGACGCTGCCTCAGCAACCAAGTGCGCATTGCTATCAAGGAGATCCCGGAGCGGGACAGCCGGTGAGTGCCGTGCTCAGGGGTCCCGGGGGGACCCTGGGCAGCCCCTCACCCCAGCGTCCCACCGCACAGGTACTCCCAGCCCTTGCACGAGGAGATCGCCTTGCACAAGCACCTGCGGCACAGGAACATCGTGCAATACCTGGGCTCCGTCAGCCAGGACGGCTTCATCAAGATCTTCATGGAGGAGGTGCCGGGAGGTGGGCAGCACCGGGGATGGGATTCGGGGGTCAAAGGGGGACACATGGCCATATGCAGGGTCTAAATGGGGCTGCTGCCCCCCTCCATGCCCCCCCTCCAGGGAGCCTCTCGTCCCTGCTGCGCTCCAAGTGGGGACCCTTGAAGGACAACGAACCCACCATCGTCTTCTACACCCGCCAGATCCTCGACGGGCTCAGCTACCTCCATGATAACCACATCGTGCACCGTGACATCAAGGTGAGGGGGTGGGAGGCATCACCCATCCCAGGGGCATGAGACCTGACCCCCTCATCTTGGGGGGCACCAGGCAGCCAGGAGCTGCCCCTCCATGCCCAAAGCCCCTGGGGTGATGCCTGATGGCCCTGCTCAAGCTCCAGAAGCTTTTTGTGGCTTGGTTTTATTTTGGGGTGCCCTTCTCACACCAGGGAGACAACATCCTCATCAACACATACAGCGGGGTGCTGAAAATCTCCGACTTTGGTACCTCCAAGCGGCTGGCGGGCATCAGCCCCAGCGCCGAGACCTTTGCGGGTAAGGGCAGCCCAGGGCTGGGGGCGGTGGGATGCTGAGGACCAGGCGATGCTGGAGTCTGTGTCCTTTGCACCCAGCATGGGGAGAAGGAGGACCCACCCAGGGGGAGGGAGTTTGGGTGGTGGATATGAGCTCCTCACGCCCCTCCTCATCCTCTCCCCAGGTACCCTGCAGTACATGGCCCCAGAAATCATTGACCAGGGGCCGTGGGGCTATGGGAAGCCAGCAGATATCTGGTCCTTGGGCTGCACCATCATCGAGATGGCAACAGGCAAGCCCCCCTTCTACGAGCTGGGCAGCCCCCAGGCTGCGATGTTCAAGGTACCCATGGGGTTGGACAGGGGCTGGGGGGGGCCCCACAGCCCTGAAATTGCCCCTGCCCCCCTTGGGGTGGCTGCTGCCTTTGCAGCCCCCACGAGTGCCTCCCCTCCAGGTGGGCATGTTGAAGATGCGCTGCTTCCAGGCCGATCCGGCCGAGCGTGCGACGGCCACCGCGCTGCTGCAGGAGCCCTTCCTCGCCAGTGCCAGGAGGGCCCGGAGCCGGCCCGTGCCCCCAGTGGGGGGTGAGTCTGGGGGGGCAGGATGGGGGGGAGCCTGGCATGAGCCGCTAAATAACCATCTCCATCTCCATCATCTCCCTGGCAGGTGATCCCCTCAGCTCCGAGCAGAGGGATGGAGTTGTGGAGGGCAGCGATGGGACCAGGGGATGTTTCTCAGCCAGGCAGGACACCCCGGTGAGGGGCACAGCGGGCAGCGCCCCGCTCCTGTGCCACCCTGGCGAGGCAACCCCCAGCCACAGCTACTTGGGGTAGGACATCCCAGACACGGGGATGAAGGAGGGACCCTGGGAGGGACCCCGGGAGGGGTGGGGTTGGCTTTCTGCCTCCCCTGACACCCGCTCCCCCTGCCATGTCCCAGCACTGCACCCCACCATGCTCCCTTATGCCAGGGCATCGCACCCCCCCATTACAGGTTGGGGGGCTTGCAGGGGGGCCCCCATCCCCTCTGCCAAGCCCAGTGGCTGTGCCCACCCCAGGCCCACATGCCAAAATGCCTGAGGCTGGGGTGGTGGGGGACATGGGACAGTGCCAACCCTCCCCACCTCCCACCAGCACAGCCCAGGACTCGGCCAGCTCTGACCACAGCCTGCGCTCGTCCTCCCCTGAGGGGAGCGGGGACGCGTTCCTCCTGCGGAAGGACAGCAAGCGCCGCGCCACGCTGCACCACGTCCTCACCGCCGAGGCGCCGGGCATCATCGCCACCCTGGAGGAAAGCCAGGTGGGTGCTGGGCGCCTGGGGTGGGGGGGTCTGCACGGCAGCCGGGCAGAGGGTGGGCACGGTGGCAACCCCTGAGAGCATCCTTTGCCCCCCTCCAGAGCCCGGCGCTACATCCAGTGCCCCAGCCAGCACCAGCTCCACCAGGACCTCCTGGCACTGCACGCCCGGCTGCAGGCAGAGGGGCTGGGCCTCCCCCACCTCCAGGCTCCCCTCTTCAGCTTCCAGGCAGCAGTGAGTGCCTGGGGGGGGTGGTAGGGTGCTGAGTGGGTGCTGCCCTGGTGCTGGGTGATGCCCTGGCGCGGCGGTGCCCTGGCGCAGCTCTGCCCCTTCCAGGTGAGGCGGGGGGGGGGGCGGGCG